ACCTCACACCTGTCAGAATGGCCATCATCAAAAAATACAACAAATAACAAATGTTAGTGAAGATGTGGAGCAAAGAACCGTCATGCATTGCTGGTGGGAATATAAACTGGTGCAGCCACTTTGGAAAACAGTATGGAGATTCCTGAAAAAATTAAAACTAGAACTACCATACAATTCAGCAATTCCGCTCCTGGGTATTTACCCGAAGAAAACAAAAACACTAAACTGAAAAGATATGTGCATCCCCATGTTCATTGCAGTATACTTACAATAGCAAACATATGGAAAGAACCAAAGTGTGCAGCCATAGATGAAAGATAAAGATGCGATATATATATATATATATATATATATATATATATATATATATACACAATGGAATACTACTCAGCCTTTAAAACAAAAAAGAATGAAATCTTGCCTTTTGTGACAACATGGATGGACCTTGGGGGTATTATGCTGAGTGAAATAAGTCAGAGAAAAATACCATATGATCTCACTTATATGTGGAATCTAAAAACAAAACAAACAAAACAAAATGAAAACAGACCCATAGATAGAACAAACGGGTGGAGGGGGATGGGCAGGACAGGTGAAGGGAATTAAGAGGTACAAACTTCAAGTTATAAAATAAGTCAAGGGGATGTAAAATGCGGCATAAGGAACATGGTCAATAATACTGTAATGATTTCGTATGGGGACAAATGTTTACTAGACTTGTGGTGATCACTTCAAAATGTATTTAAATGTCAAATCACTATGTCGTACACCTGAAACTAACATAATATTGTACATCAACGATAGTTCAACTTTTAAAAAGATGGCAGAGGGCATGTTAAAATGGGAAATCAGACAACTCCCCTGGATAGAAATAAACAGGGAAAATATTTTTCTGAATGTTAAAGATCACAGCAGCTCTCTGGACCAAAATCTAAACAGGAAAAAGCACACCAAACTAACGGAAGGGAAAACCGTTTAGCAAAATGTAAGTTTTTATCTTAACGTGGTTGGAAACTGGAGAGATATAAATTTTATGAAGTTCTGTGATGAAGCCTCACTCTCTCTGCCATAGGAAAGGGGCTCCTTGGGTGGTAATTATGCTTAGACAGAAGAGGAAGGCAGCTGGCAATATTTCCTTCCCTCTCACTAGGACTCTGGCTTGCCTTCCCCTTCCCTCTGTTTTTAACAGAGGCAGTACTACATGAGTAATAATACTTCACGAAATATGCTCCTGATCTCTAGGGCAAGTCAGAGTTCCTATAAGTTAAGGATGCAGTTCAGAGTGAGAATTGTCTATGAAAGCAGTTTTATGGCTTAGATGTTTATTGATGCAACCCCATTCTCTGTGACAACACTCGTGTGATCCAGCCTCTCTCGTTGACAAAGCTCCCGAAGGAATACCCAGGTTTTGCTCCATGATTTCAGCTGACTTACTATCTAGGCATTTGGTACTCCGGGGCTTTTAAGAAGCTTCTGTGGCAACAGCTGTTACTTTACTTTAGTAATAAAGTAACCTGAACTCAAGCCACATAGAGGAAAAAATTAGAAACATCAAAAATATGTGAAGATGAGAATACAAGAAAACCATGCCTACATAGGAGAGTGAAACGAAACTATCACAGATTCATTTTTACAGATAGATATCCAGAAGGGAAGGAACAGAGGGTATTTCCATTCCATTCAAATGAAGGGCAACTTAGTGAAGAAGCAGCTTCTGATACTTTACATAAAGAGAGTTAAAAAATGCACATGACAAAAGCGTGGCATTTGGGGCTGGCTACTTGTTTCAAAACCTGAAAGGAACCAAAGAATGAGACAAAGAGTCAGATTTAATCTTACCGATCCTAAATCACTCAGTTACCCAACTCTGGGAGAAGGTAATTAACTACCCCCTTTCACTGGAGTATGATCTGGCCAGCAGGGCTGGGTCAGACAAGCAAACAGAGCAACCTCATGCTACAAAAGGGGGAAAGTAAGGCAGGAATGAACTGAGCCATTAGGACCAAGAGTGGGCGAAAGAAAGAATGGCTCCCCTGGTGAGGACAGGAGGGTAGGCATTGACTGGGCCAACAGGCGTCACCAGCTGGGCGTGAGTCACATCTGGCAGAGGCAAAAATGAGATCACAAAACAGCATGGATGGCAGGGTTTCGATTTTAAAACAGCAAGTAGATTAGAAACGTTGAGGAGTTAAAAATTAATGCAAAACTCTGATGTGAATCAAAATATCATGAAAACCAGCAGAAGCTGATTCTTCCAGAGTTCGGTGGAAGGAGCCAAGAACCGGGAATTAGCCTGCAGAGTATTCCCAAGGCCCACTGTCTAAATTCCAAAGGAAGGAAAACCCAATGTTCAAAGAACCGTAGGGTGTACAGGGTCGCCAAAGAAAAGTACTGATGATTGAAACAAAGGGTAGGAGGGTGCAGCTTTTACAAATACTAAACGTGAGTTTAAAATATCTGTGTTCCAATATGGACTCCGCCCTTGACTTGCTGGGTTGATGGTGTGTGTGTCTCTGTGTACATGTGCACGCGATTCTCCTGATCTCCCCGGGGCTGGGTGTCTTCCTCAGTAAAATGATGGAACTAAATTATGTCATCTGAAAAGTGGTTTCAAGCTTTATTCTAGGAAGTGAAAAAATTGGGAGAGGAGAATGCAGGCCACTTAGTAAACAAAAGGCCTAGAATGAATGACAACACTTTTTTGCTCCAAAGGCTAGAAACCTCGGACACAGGAGGGCCTCTGCCTAGCTGTTAGATGTCACCACTGCCACTCCACCCCCATTCCTTGTGCCTAAACCCTCAGCTGAGAAGGGCATGGCCTGGTCCTGGGACATTCCATCCCATGGATTATTTGATGACGTGTCTCTCTCCTACCCTCCTCCCAGAGTACAATTTTCTAAAAGCAGAGAAAAATCCTTCCCAAGAAAATAAACACTCCCAAACAACTGTCCCATTCTGTTACCTATTTGGATTACATAATTGCTATGAAGTCAAGACTTTCTTATTGACACGCCAGAAAAGACCTCTCAGCTCATAAGCTGAACCGCCTTTTCTCCACTGTCCAAAGCCCTAAAAAACCTCCAAGTCCCTAAAAAGCAGTCCCCAGTGCCCACTGAGATGGAATGAAAAACTCCACCGCCTCAACTCTGCTCAGAATGGAAACTCAGATCAAAATATTTTAAATCTGTGGAGATGTAAGCCCTGTATACTATATTCCTCAACAATAACGACAGTAACAAACCTTTACTGATGCCCCAAACTGCCCTTCATAAAAGGAGAACACTGATATTTTTTCTGATTCTGTTGAGAATAATTTAGACAAGTGTACAATCTTAACTCTTTTGTTGGCCAGTCTGTAAAATGGGGTGACCGATAATTGGTAACTGGCATCACTTACCAGACACCAGGTAAAACAGTTAACCCCCTCCTGACCCACCCCGACACTAGGAAAAAACCACTAGGCCAAGCTAGCTCCAATCCCACAGAGCACAACGCTAATTAAGATACCTATACTTTTCCCGTTGAGGCACCAGTAAAAAGGCTGAGGGTTCCTCTTACAGCCTGCTCTAACTTGTTCATCTGGATCAATGTAGAAATAGCAGTAAATTGCTCTTCGTAATTCCTCTCCAGGAATAAAAAGGACTAGGATATTCCTGGAATGCCTCCTCACTCACAAATTAGAAGGTATGCCTCCTGTAATCACTGTACTGTGCTCAGTGTGAAGATTAAATGAGATAATGCATGGAACGTGCTGAACGAGCATCTGGGACACAATAAACTCAATAAATCAATGATGTTACTAACTGTAAAAACAACAACACACAAACAACAAAACAAAACCAAAAAAACGGGAGGGGGGCTGTTTCCTGATGCTTATCGACTTACTTGGAATAGGGAAGATTGAAACATAAGGCAACAATAGTTCCACAGCACAATCCAGAGATGTTTTTGCTGTCCTCTGGTTTTCTTGTAATCAGTCACTTGATAGCCATTAAGAAGAACTTTCCACAATGCCACGGGTACTCACACCCCACTATACATCCAACTCTCAATAACTGAGAGGTAGCAGAGTGTTTGAAACAATGAGGACAGAAATGCAAAAGACCTTAAAGAAATTCCACAAAGCCCCTTGGCACCGATCATGTGCAAGTTTCGCCAGAAAAGCCAAACGTCCCACACCACACAATGGTTCTTGGTGGAAAAAGAGGGTAAATAAAGCACAGACTCTGAGAATCCTAATGAGAAGGTTACCTCCCCATCAGAGACCAGACCTTAAAAGTCTAGCTCTTCTGTAAATTTTAGGTTACAAATAAATTCTTCCTAAGGCACACCTAGCAATCTTTTGTGTTTGGCTCTGCTGTTTGGACACGCACAGTTATGTTTTCCTTCCAGGCACAAAACCGGTTTTTAAGAGCTTCATGAAAATATTCATATTTTCACGATATGCGATTAGCAGGTTTTACTATAATTTATAACTGAATTTTCTTGTTCACTTGGGGCACACACATCATATACTAGGCTCCCCTTCCCAGTGACACACCATAGTATGCAGCTATGCAGCACATTTTGTTTTAAAGGCAGCAAAATGAATAATGTCTGAACTCCAGAAAAGATGGTGCATTTGCATCAGTCGTGAGACCGTGTGGCAAAAAAAAAAAAAAGGCCATAAAACTCTTACTTTGTATTTTGTATTGTGCCTATTCAACCTGTAAAAATTTTTGTAGTTTCTAAACCAGGTTTTTCGGAAACACAACGGGCGTTAGTATTATGCCTTTTCAAGTTGTAAAAGACCAGGCCACTTGGCAATTCTTGTAGTTTCTAAACCATGCTTTCCAAAATGCAAAGGGCAAGTGTGACCTGTAACTTTAGAGAAGGGCAAGTAACGTTCTACCTCTGGCTGAATACTTAGTTATTTCACTTGACAGTAAGTTTTTATGGCAACCCTCTATTACCATGAAAGTGTATGTCCTCTCCGATTCAAAGTAATTAAGTGCAACTTGTGAAAGTCAGGTTTTTTTATTTAATACATTCTAATCAAATAGTAACAGCAGTAAATAAACACTTTGAAAAACAGGCAGGTATCCCCCTATATCTGGAAGAAAATTAAGTCAGAGTATTCTACATGGTAGAAGGGAGACAATTGCTAATGTCCTTGGTTAGACCACTTGGAAATTTCTAAAGCCATTTCTGAAAAATCAATGGCAACAGGTTGTGGGACACAGCTACTTCAAAGGGTAAAATGTCTCTATCTACATGGTTTTATTAACAGGGATTGAGTTGCACCTGTATAGCATGACATTCTTGTCTTTAGCCTTAAAGGAAAAGAAGTCTTTTCCATTTGCACCAGTTTGAAATATTTCTGAAATAAGGCTCCCTTGAAATGGATTACTACAGTACTCATTCACATGAGAGAGTTCATACATGTAGTAAAAAGACAAATACAGGATTTCATGGTCACTTTTTTTGGTTGATTTGGTTAATTGCATAAAATGAAGGATAAATACTCACAAGCATATCTGTTTAACAAATCTCCTAAGTACATCAGAATGCAAAGTATCAAATGTCCTAAAATAGACTCTGATCACCAGGCATACAAAATTGAAGTTAAGCCTGTGTCAGTTTGGTTCCTTCCACTTCTTCAGCACTCCTAAGTGGAGCTCCTTCTCTACTGCCGGTGCTGGCACCTTCCACCTAACAGGAACCTCAGAAAGGCAAAGAGTTCTGATAAATTGTTCCTTCAGCCTTTACTTGGGACGTTTTATTTTTAACTTAAAAGGATAAACTGGTCTTGGTCAGCCTTAGGAAGGGAAGCATCACTCAGGTGAAAATATCTGGGGGAACTTTAAATACCTAGCTACCCCTCCACACATTTAAATTAGATTGACTTCAGCTGTTCTTAGAATTCTGCGTAGTTATCCAGAGCCGTCACTCAAGTTTTGGTTCTCTTTTTACATAGCTGCTTTCGGAGATACTCTATAGGAGGCATGTTTAGAAAAAGAGAAACACTTATACCTGGAATTTATATTCTTCCAAGTAATCTTTTAGTCTTGTTGGTAAAGGCAGTCCCCAGATGGTACCGGTACATTTGTTAATGGTGAGTCTACAGAGATGCTGCAGAGGTGGTGCTGATGTGTAGAGCGGTTTGGTCAGATAAAGGTGAACAGTGCCGTTCCGGGGGGCTTCTGGGCCCGTCCGCTTATCCTTGCACATCTGAACATAGTAGTCGATCAGATGAACCACACTGTCAAATTGTTTAAGCTTGGACTTGACACATATGATAGAGTCCAATCTAAATTTCCCATCTTGGTATTCGATGCGAAGATTAGTTGGTCCAGCTGATGTTTTAACAGATATTGTTAGTAGGTAGTCTGAATGCGAACTATCTCTAATCAAGAAAGTTCCTTCTGGTGCCTCTTTTAATTTCTCTTTGGCTTCATTAACAGTCATACTTCCCCAGTACCAACCTGGGGTTTTTGTTCAAAAGAAAAAGAAAAGAGAGTAAAATAGTTATTATAGAGAATTTTTAAAATAGGGTAAATACTTGGCAACAATTTTTCTAGCTCTAAAAAGAAGTGTGTGAAAGTTTACCAGAGGCTACCATAAATACTTTCTATAGAAATTTGATGAAAACATAGGTCCATTTTATTTTCTGAACAAACTGCAAGCCAGTTTTCTTTTTTAAAAGTAACTTTCTGTAGCTGTTCTTTAAACTCTCTTAAGACTTTCTCCTAACGAAACAAAAGAATGTTTGCAGTATGACACACTGGCTGACCGGGCATGGTGCTTCTCCACTAGTCAAGTGAAATCAAAGATTTAATGTAAATTAAGTCAGAAGTTAGAAATAAAAGCCATGCCCTTAAAAAAGTGGAAAACCCAACTCCAGTTAATACCAACAAGATAAAAAGAAGCAACTTTCTGAATGGTTGGTGTCCACTCCCACCCTCCCCAAATCTGTTAGCGGCTGCGTCCATATCTCTTTTCAAAGTCCCATAAAGCACCGCTATTTACTTGTTTTAAGAGGGCAGTTCTAGTATGATACAATAGCTTCTGTTCGCTGCTTTGATTACAACTACCTTATCAGCCATTGAGAAATGAGAGAAAGCCCAATTGATAGTTAGTACTTCCAGTTTACAGTCTTCCATAAACTCTTTTGGACTTTGCCCTAATTCAAATCCAATCACAACCGTCGGTCTCCCCAGCATTCTCGAGTCTACCTGCCAGTTCCATCTCCCATCCCGTTTTCAAAATTGACTTAGCAACATCTTACAGTTTAAAAGTTTGAACAATGCTCCCCCCCCCTCCAAAAAAAAAAAAAACTTGCTCGGGTACCTGCAATCTGCCGGTTCCTCCCGCTGAGGGAAAGCCCGTGGCCTGCACGGAAAGACCGGAACCGCAAGTGAAGGAACTTTTCCTTCTCCCTACTGCTACCAAAACTTCAACTTTGCCCCAAACGTAAGCTTTGAGGATCCTGATTTTGAAAGCCTGCAGGTTTGCCAGAATCTTTTTTTCCATCTTTTCTTCTTTCAGATGCCGAGAGACGACAGCGAGCCGCGCAAAGCGCAAGACTGCACTTGAAACAAGCGAGGCCAAGCTCGGCTGGGGCTTCGCAGCCCGCCCTCCTCCCGGCTTTGCGGCAGTCCTGAGCGGCAATCAGCCGGTCCCCGAACTTGGCCGCCAAGATTCCAGGCTGCAGCGGCTGCCCGGCCCGGGAGCCAGATGCAGCTGAAGCTGCGGGCAGCGCAGCGCCCACTCGCCGCCCTCTCACCCCGCGGACAGGAAAGGAGCCGGGCACTTTCTCCGGCTAAGGTCCGAGCCCGAGTGCCGACCCCCAAACGGCCGCGGAAAATAGCAAAAATTCCAGCGCCCTAAGAGTCTATTTCCAAAGAGCCCTTCTAGCGCTCTAACCTACCCTAGGCCTCTGAGTCCCCCGAGAACCACTTTTCTTTCGCATTCCATGGATCCAGGTCCGTAGGGGCATTCTCCCCGCGGTTCCCTGATCTGGGGCGGGGAGGGTAGCGACTGCTTCCCAGCCTCGCTAGCACAACCGCATCCTTGTCTTTGGGGAGGCGCCCCCTTCTCGCACGCATTGCGGCCGGTCCGCTCCCTACCTGTGTGACTAAGTTCCCGCAGGGCCTTCGCCAGACGCGCCGCCTCCGGGGACGGCTCCTCCGCCGACCCCGAGGTCCCCCAATGGCTCTGCGTCCCTTCCGCGCCATTCCCGGAGGGCTCGAGGCACCGCAGGGTCATGGGAGAAGGGTCACCGCGGCAAAGACAGGTGGCCGCCCGAGCTGGGGTCAGAGAGGGGCACGCGTCCTTCTTAGAAGTCAGTGGAAACCCCAAAACGAGTCCCTGAGGGGTCCGCGAAATGGAAATGGAGGGGGAGGTAATGGGGAGCCGCTGGTTCTTCCTCCCCCGGTCCCGGTGCACGGATAGCAAAATCCCCCGCAGGCGCGGTCACGCACAGTTTGCCTGCAAAGAGAAAGTGGAGGGTTGGGTCAGTCGGAACTGGACCCCTGCGGCCGGGGCGTGGGTGGAGGGACAGAGACATGGAAAATCCCGGGAATCCTCCGCGTCTGCGCTCCTGCACCATTTAACCCCGAGCATCCAGTTACTGCCCTGGCCCGTTCTAGAGAAAGAAGGATAAAGAGAGAGCAGGGATCCAAGACGCAAGAGTTGGGGCGGGGGACAGGATGAGGGCGGCGAACCGGCTTATTTCCCGCCCAGGGCTGCTCGCTGAAATCGCAGACTAGGAGATGAGAAGAGCAAAGAGTCACCTGCGGGTACGGTGGTAAACAGGCCTCAGTCAAGGACAAGTAGAAAAATGTAAAAAGGAAAGAACAGGAGAGGTCCCCACTTGGCATTCCTATCTCACACTCCGCACAGCCCGGGGAGCCCCAGGAGGAAGCACCCCGCACAAACCTAGTTCCCGGCCCTACAGCGCCGCGGGGCTTCCCGGGCAGAGCCGGCAGCCCGGGACGCGGAGGTGCGGGAGCTGCCGCAACACAGCAGGAGAGGCTGCCTCGCTCCCCTCCCCCCGCTTCCCGGAGCTCGCTTGGGGCAGGGGTTGGGGGCGCCGTGGCTGCCGCTCCCGAGGCCGGGCGGCTGAGGCTGCTGTTGCCGCCGCGAGCGCTGTCGAGGAATCTGCCCGAGCGCGCAGCCCGCGCGGGGGCTCCGAGCCCTGACCCGAGCCGGGGGCCGAGCAGGCGGCAGAGAGCGCTGCGGGACGTGCTAGACAACCAACGCTGAGCCCTTACCTCGGCCTCGGCCGCCGCTGCCGCCTCCGCACCAGGCAGCCTCCCCAGCAGGCATGGGGCGGGGGAGACGGGAGGGGCCCGGGAGGAGGGGTGTCTGCCCGAGTTTCCCCTGTTGACTTTTAATTTGGGAATGAGATGCCTGGGGATGTGACGAGCCCTGTGCTCAACGGCGGGGGCGGTCGGAGTTCTCTGCACAGAGGGCAAACGTGAGCCCCGGGGACCATCGCCTCGATTCGCCGGGCTCTAACACCCCCTCCGGGCTCGGACACCCCCGACCCGGGGCAGCTGCTGGGTTCCCTCCGGCTGCAACCAAGGAGATGAGAAGGAGAGAGGGAGGGAGGAAAGAGGGCGGGAGGTAGGCGGGTGGGGAGGAGCGGGAGATCAGCTTATTAGGAGGATTATTAATCTGGATGGCAGTTTAGGGGAGGAAAAACAAAAACAAAAACTCTGGAGACTTCCAGACGCCGGGAAAGAACTGGAGAAAGCAGGCAGTAGCTCCCAGCCTCGGGGCAGAGCTGCAGCTCGGGCTCTCTAGCCCAGAGGCTCGAAACTGCGGAAGCCAAGGCTGCCCCGCTCTCTCGGCCGCGCCCCAGTGCCCTCCCCAGCCCTCCTAGGGGCGGAGCCCTTGAGCTCCCCGGCCCGATACCTGCCGCGGGCCCCTGCCCGAGCTCCTCCGGCGCCCCAGCTGTAGGCGACGGGGATCCTGAGGCTGTGCGCCCGGGGCCCCGGCGCGCACTGTCCGCGGCCCGCGCAGTGCCAGTGGCGGCGGGCGAGAAGGCTCATGCTTCAAGGGAAGCCCAAGGCCCGCGAGCCGCGGCGGCGGCGAGACTAGACAAGAGTTAAATGTCTGTCCCCGGAGCGCTGTGTGCGCGCGACTTCCCAGACCTACGCGCCTCCCTCGCTCCCCGCCTCTCTCCCTAGTCCGCGCTCCCCGCGCGCCCCGCCCCGCGGCTGCGGAGGCCGCTTTCCAGGAACTTTCCAGGAATCCACCTCACGTGACCGCGGCCCCCGCTACTGCTTTAAAGAGACTCCGGTGCTAATGCGCAGGCTTCAGGAGAGACGGGCTCAGAGCGTTCGGGTGCCGGCCAGGGCGGGGTGGATGCCTGGGAGTCCGCCCTCCTCTGACCCCACGCCCCGGAGTTCTCGGAGACGCGCAGGAGAAGAACCAGGCCATCACCGTCCCGGTTTCGGCGGCTGGAGCTTGCGCCCAACCCATGCAAGCTGTGCGCCGGAGTCGAGCGGTTAGCAGACGTTCTCGCCCCTCGGCCCGCCGCGGCTGGTTGTCTTTTCCATCCCCTCCGCGCCTTCTCTAGGCGACTTTCCAGGCCGCACCATTTTCGGGGGGGTGGTGGCTGGAGAGACTAGAGATCCTCGGAAAGGGCCCCTCCCGCTCTAAGACACATTAATGGAGTGGGAGAGCTCCCTCTTCAGCACCCCCTCGCCCACGCCCGGGACCCGGAGGGAGCGGGCTGATGGCGGTCCTCTCGGGTCCGGTCCTAGAAGGCTGCCAGCGGGCGTAGAGCGGCGCCTCGTTAAACGGCGCCGGCCGCTCTGTCTCCTCCCCGTGGCGGTCTTGCTCGCTGTCTCCCGCACCGGCCCAGCCCGGCTCCTCCGTCCCTTCCTCCTCCTCGCCGCTCCGTTGTCTCCTTCCGGCCACCCGGCGGCCCTCCGGCTCACCTGCGCCGATCGCGGAGGGGGCGCCCAGACCCGCGCGCCCTGGTGGTCCTGGCCAGCCCGTCTCGGTGTCCGCAGGCCGAGAGCGCTCGACTCTGAGATTTCCCGCAGAGCTTGCACCCGGGGCCCGGAAATGCGGAAAGATCCCAGCTCTTCTTCCCTGCCCAGGGACCCTCACCTCCTCCCACCTGGTTGAAGGCCACCTGGCCTCAGCTGAAACTCATCTCCTTCCCTGCACGTCCGCCTCCGAAATGTGACCTACTTTAAATGTGACCTACTTTTTAAAAACCATTAACACTCATGGGAAAACCGGATCCAAAATTTCGATAACCATTTTTCTTTGAAATACTATTCTATTGCATCACTATTCAAAAGCTTGAAAGGTCAATGGCCACTTTTAGTTGAAGCGTTGGCCATAGGGAAGTTGGGCGAGGAAAGGGGAGGGGGCGTAGGGGAAGGCGCGGCTCACAAACCTTGCCTGGTGCACCCCCCTGCTGGCTCTGCGAGGAAGCATAAACCAGCTCCTGCCTTCAGGCCGGGAGTCCTGGACAAACGGTTTTTCTCAATAATTTTCCTGCTTTTGAGTAAATAATTATGCAAATGATAGGCAGATTAGCTGGAGAGGAAGGGGGGGTTGCATTTCCCAGCTAACAAAGGGTTTTGTCAACGATGGAGTCGCGTGCACTGAATCATGTTTTGTTTCTTAGAGTCTGATCTGGAGGGCAGAGCTAATTGAATCCTAGTTAAAACCCTCTATAATGGAGATGAATAATTTTGCACAAGTCGCTTATCGTCCTTGGACCCTAGACCTTTTCTATAAAATTAAGGGACTGGACTCTGGTTCTGGGTGACGGACTGGTATGAATGAAAAAATAAGATTCCATGTGGAGTTTGTGTCTAGTCTGAGGCCCAGAACGTTTAGGGGCCACTACATCTACTAGGGTTCATTATGCTCTAAATTATTCCATTTGACCTCTCCTTCCTTGGTAGAGCATCCCAGAGGAAGGGTGTACCCACTTTTCTGTAGTTTAAAGATATTTTTTAAATTTTACAAAGATAAAATAATTTCTATTTAATTGTCAATTGAAATGGATCTGCCAGCAGCACTTCTTAACGTGCTTTCCTGTGGCTTCCTAAGGACCTTTGCACACACCCTCCTCACTTCCTGGAATGCCCCTCCCCAGACTGGGTGCATGGCAGACTCTCATCATTCAGGGCCCAGCTGAAAGTCACATCCACAGAGAGTCACTGTCCACAAAGATTTCAATAAACACAATGCCAGCTGTAGGGGCACCAAGCTTTGTACCAAAGTAGGATTTTTAACTTTTGTTTCTGAAAGGTCTCAGCAATGCCCTGCATTTTATTGGCCCCAGGAAGCACATATGGGAGCCACTTAGGAAAATATTTATGAGATCATGTTAAGTGAAAAAAAGTACAATATGAAATTGTATCCATGCTATGATTTTGACATTAGAGAAGTATGTATGCATGTGGGCAAAAACAGAACGTGAAGAAATAAAAGCAGCTGTTTTTAGGGTGGCAGGATGTGGGTGAATTTTTAAATTTGACTTTCCTTAATACTGTTCTAGTATTTCTGATACAGCCATCAGTTTCCCAAAATTGCATGCAGGAGTCTTCACTTACTCTCAAAGGGTAGAGTATAGTTTGTAGAGCTGATGGACTGCCCTCCTGAACCCCAGACCTGCCACCCGGCATTACCCTTTAGATGTCTAATCGGTATCTCCCATTTAATAGGTCCCAAAATGGGGCCTAGATAACCCTTCCCCCCACACCCTTAAAAAGAAAATAAAAACAAAGCCATCCCTCCTGCACCCTTCCCCATCTCTGAAAATGTCAATTCCATTCTTCAGTTGCTCAGGCCAGCCAACAGCCTTAGAGCCATCTTTGACTGCCCTTTCTCACACACACCCACATCTCACCTGTCAGCTAATCCTCTGACTCTGATTTCACAATAAACCCAGAATGGAAGCACTTGCCGCATCTCCACTGCACACTAGTCCAGGCCACCTCCATTTCTACCCAGCTTACTGCTGCAGCCTCCCTCTTGGCCTCCTTGCTCCCCAATAGGCTATTTCTGACAGAGCAGTGAGAGAGATCCTGTTTAAACTAAGTCATTTCACGTCCCTCCTCTGCTCTAACCCAAGTGGCTGCATTGCACCAGAGTAAAAGACAAAACACTAACAGCCACTTGCAAGACCCTAGAAGATCTGGTACCTCTGATCTCATCCCCTCCTGTTCTGTTCCTTGATCACAATGCTCAAGTCACACTGGACTTCTTGCTATTGGTAGCGCATGCTGCCCTTGCTCTTTCCTCAGGGCCTTTGTCTTTGCTGTTTCCTCTACCTATTATGCTCTTCCTCCAGATAATCTGCATGGTTCACTCCCTCACTTCCTCAGATCTTTATTCAGTGTCACCTTCTTAGTGAGACTTGACTGTTCAGAATCCACCCCTCCCCCCCACTTCTCTTGCCTCCATGCCATAGTTTTTTCCCTTACACTGATCACTATCTAACCTAGTTTATGTTTTATCCATTGGTCCAGTTTCCTATCTTTCTCCCCCACAAGAATGTAAGTTTCATGAGGACATATATCTGTATTTGTATCTACATTGTTTACAGCTATATATCTCAGCACCTTGAATAGTTCCCAACATGTAGTAGGCACTCCACATGACTGTAGAATGAATGAATTGATGCTCCATCAGAATGGCTTTAAAGTTAAACTGCCCAGGCATGAATCCTCACTCAGCCACTGCTGGCTGCATATGTAATCTTTGGCAAATGATTTAGCCTCTTATGGAGATAATAATTAAACATATAGAGATATTGTGAGAATTACATGAGATAATCTATAAAAAGTGCTTTGGCACTTAGCAAATAATAAAGATTAGCTATTATTTCAACTCTCATTCTTTTACTCTCAGTGAGTTTGGATTTTTCTCCCTAGGGGTAAGATTATCTTATTTTTGCCTATATGAAACCCAACAGTCACTCTCTGGTCACTGCCCAAGAACTTCCCGTTAGTTGATTCCCTGGAGTTCACCTTCAGCTTTAAATGTATAGGGTAAAATAGTGATTCTGTTTGTTCCTAGCTTTTCAGGAGTACATCTGTTCTGTTCAGCAGGGCAGGTGCATGGCTGCAGTAGTGAACTTTCATTCTAATTGGGGAGGGAAGGGAGAGTGATTTTCACAAAGCTGGAGAGTGTCTTCTGTTGCCCGCGTGGAGGAATTGCCAAGGCTTGAAAATCTCTGTGTACCAAACCCGAACTGCACCTTCTTGGTTTTGCAGTGCAGATGTTCTGATACTGGAATTGATGAGCAATCTGCACTGAGCTTCTGCTGAGTTGCAGAGAGAGCTTTTTGGGTTTTGTTTGGGGGCTGAGGGAATGACCGTTGGCTGTTGTGTCTGAAGTGCCTGTGGGTAGAAGGTACCCTTTTAAGTGGCCACCATCCCTTCCTTTTAGAGTTTGCCATTTCACCACCACCACACACAGACACACACACACTCACACTCAGCACCTTCAAAGCTCCTTGTGATTCTGGAACCCACTCTTCTGGAGAGCATATGACCCAGGCTAGCCAATAAGAGTACCCCATGCCCCTGGACACAGGGGTTTGTCCAGTATCACAGCCCAAGCAGATTATTTTTTTTAGGACTTGATGTAAGTGCCTCCCCTTCTGAGATGATGAGCAGTAATGACCATGCAAGCCAACTTTTCCACCACTTCGAGAGAGTCTGTCAAAGAACAAAGGCAACAGAGAAGAAAGCAGAGCTCAGGTTTGAGTGACAGGGAGAGATTCCTGAGCACTTGAATCCAACATGCCCGAAGCTGCACTGCCCTTCGGCTTCTCAGATACAGGAATGAAAGAGTTTAGTTTTTCCCCACAGGGTTTGATTTGGGTTTCCATAACTTGTAATCAAAGATACTCTCATGGGGTGTAGTGGTTTGGGTGTGGAGGGATGTATGGGAGGGAGTGGAGTGGAGAACTGAGACGACAAAGAAGAGAGCTGCCTTTCACAGTAATGAGCATCTCTTAAACTTCATCTGGTGCTTCTCAGTACCAATTCCCTTTACAATGTCCTGCTTGCTCCACCCCTATAGTGGAGGACACTCACTGGGGGACAGAGGAAAAGGAGCAGATCCTGCTGGCTTCTGTGCTCTGGGTCAGGGATGGGGGGAGGGAGAAGCCAGGCAGATGGCTGTCCCCTAGACTTCTGGGACCCTGGGACATGGTTGATGGCTGTGTCCTTGGTCTTTCTACCCACAGAAGTGGAAGGGAATCATGTTCTAGGACAGTAGTTGTCAATGTTAAGTCACAGATCTCTCAGAAATTCTGGTAAAATCTATAGATCAGAGTTCAACAAACCACCTGCATATGGGCCATATTTGACCCTGAGTGTTATGAGTGGTCTACCAGGGTTCTAAAAAAAAAATGTGAACCAAATAAAATCTCTGGAGATTTCACCCCCAAAGAGATCCAGATTTTTGCTTTCTCTTAACCAGTCCTAAGATCTGTCCACACTGGGTCCCATTCCCTCAAGGCAGTGAGCAGCAGAAGCATAGTGGCGGCTGCCGCCTTTGGAAGGTACATCCCCTCCCATTCTCCACAATCCTCGGCATCCTCTGTGGATCCCCAGCACTGAACATTACTTGCCATCTGTCATCACCCTTACATTGCTGGTTTTCTTATGGTGAAGAAGTATTTCTCTGGCCCTAAGTCTCTACCAGAGTGAGGAAATTAAAAATAGAACCAAAAGATTGACTATTTCAAAACAAATGGGAGAGAGCTTATTTCTCTGTGGAAGTGAAGGATATTCCTCTGTTTAATAGGCAAACAAAGTGTGGCTGGGTTCTCACATTGGCCTATTTCATTCTTCTATATTCCTACCTGGTCCTGCAGGCATTTGCAGACAGGTTCCATCTAAGACTTTATCTGCAGAAAAATGTTCAGGAGGGAGGCACAGATTGGGGAGGGGGTTAACTGACCATATGAAGCCTGACTGTGAGCCCCCAGGGGCCTGTTGACCTCAGGTGAGAACCCTCGTCCTAGAGGGTGGATAGTCTTCAATAGAGCACTCCTGAGAGATAAAGGTCTGGCTTCAGCACTGTATGGGGCGTTCTTTATTGGAACTGCTCTATATAGTCAGAGATCACCAATCATAACACTCTGGTGCTGGAAAGGACAGTTTCACTAGTGCAGAAGAATTTTCTTCATCTCCTTTCTCCTTCCCCACGCTGCTCTAAACTTCTGGTCACCTTGTTTCTCAAACACACCAAGCCTGCCTCAGGAT